TTTCTTTTCTATGATTGGGTTGTGCTCCCTATGCTTCAGCTTCCTGCTTTTCTTTACTCCATGTATATCAGAGCAAATGTGAGTACCACATCTTGTATCAAGAATCCAAGACTTAGAAGTTGATGTATTATGGAATTCAATCATAAATATACCTGAAGTGATACACTCATTGCCCTTTTCTTCTTTAGATCCTCCATGCATTTAGGGAAACTACATTTCTAGTGTCCATTTGACTGACAATAGAAACAATGGCCTTATTTGGGTAACTTGTGGGAGCTATCTTGAAAACGGCCTTTCTCTTGAGACCTTGGTTGTATTGTCCAACCAAGGTATTTCCATTTCCTTTGGGATGAGAAAACATTTTCCTTTTAGCAGTACCATGGCCAATGGTCAATCATAAATATACCCAAAATGCACACTTCCAACTTTGGTTGAAATATAAAATGTTAATAATATACGAACCATGGGCCATGATAAAAATTAAAGATTAGGCCTGTTACCCTTTTTACAATGTACAGGTTACACAAACAATAAGAAGAAACCCTAATCACTCTCATTTTGTTGTACGCAGCCGAGAGAATTAGAAGAAAAATCATTTAGATCGGGAAAGAGAATTCCAAGAAGGAGTAACGTAATCGATTTTCACAACTATCAATGTCAAATTTGGTAAGTTCTATTACATATCCAACTTGAAGCTTGTAACGATTCAAAAATGAAAGATATGTATAGATGTGTGTATCTTCTAATTTCTTGACCGCTATAACATTGATTACCACTAATTATTTTTAATTTGATTCTAAGTGTGAATGGAAACAATATCAAGAAATAAAACTTGTAATGAAATAAATTATGCCCTAACAAAAATGTGAAATATGGATCAAAATGGGTTGTAGAAAATATTATTCCATTATAATGGAAAATTATGAATTCAGGTTTAGATGATATAAGATATTTTACAAACACTGTTGTTTTATTAATACTGCTGGAGTATCATTTTGATGATGAATCGACCATACGAACTATTATGTTATGCACAACCTGCTTTTAGCATACAAATAACTGATACTTAACATGATATTTTTAAGACCTTTATTTTTTTCAATATATAAGAACATGTGGGCTTTTCAATAATACATGATTTGTTGTATAATCAGTTGAAGAAGCTTATGGATAACTTCATAGTGAGGTAGATTCATAACCATTTTAAATAAATCTTTTACATTTATTTTTTTAAGAATAAAGATAAGTATTTTGGTTTTAGAATTAGTTTACACTATGAATTTTAGGTTCATCCACATGTGATTAGGAATCATCATGATCTTTAATTACTTTTTAAAATATATGAATTTATAAAATTGGTATAGGGTTTTTAATGAATGATAGGTCATATGCTAGGTGAATTCATTTGTAACAAGGAACTACTTAATTACTAACCAAATACTACATTATATTTTACCACTTTTAGGGCACCAACTTTTATATACATGAAATTATAAGGCTTAAATTTGAAATATCTCATGAAATAGTGCCTCGAATAAAGAAAATGAATAATCCCTAAATAATTAACTTATTAAAAAAATAGAATACTTACTCTAGTTTATATCAATAGCAATTTTCAATATTTTATATAGATGGAGAGAATACTTTCATGATTAAGTATAACCTCTAGATCAAACAATTCTTTGAGATGATTCATAAATTGTTACAATCCAAGTATGTTAACCACTCGTTAATAGGTGACATAGTAAGACATAATAAGACATGCTAAGCTACATGCCATAGGAGACCCAAATTTGAATCTAAAGAGCTTCTAAGGGGTGTTGAGGTGTATGGTGTGTGATGCAGGCGCAAAGAGGTAGCTTAACTTATTGCCTAATGCGAGCCTCTTCCCTTCACCTCGAAAAACCATGGAAATTCCACTACTGTCAGTGGGAAAGTTTTATCAATTTGTGTCATAATTTATAGATCCATAAAAAGTTTTCTGGTATCAAACTATTCCCTTTGGTCATAACTAAAATATTAATATAGTTACAATCCTTGTAGTAGTAAGGATGTATTGTACCTATTCGTTTGATGATTACCTTGATGCATTGAAGTAAGAAAATTTTATCTTATGATTACCTTGATACGTTGAAGTAAGAAAAAATTATCTTATTGGAACATTCATTTATTTTCAAGGCCTATAAAATCTTTTATTTTACTGTAGAACCATCTCACAACTCTCATAATACATGAATTCTATGTTCCTAGGAAGTATAAAGATATGTCATAAAACATTATGAAGAATTGAAACCTATTAAGAAACTTTTACATAAACACACACTTGAATTCATCGATTAGTGCCACAATCAAGGTTATAATTCCACCCCACTCACAAGTTTCCTCCATCTTCCTCGATTAGTTTTATCTAGTCTAATAAATGAATGTTTTTTTGCCACTTGTCACACTCTCATTTAATTTCCCAAATGTCATTTTGTGGTTATTTTGAATTTTTTTCCACATGTCATTTTATAAGTTTTTATATTTTTTAAAATTCTACATAATATTTTAATGTAATAATTGCAATAAATGTAGTAATAAATAGATATCAATATAATTAATGAACTTATCTTTTAATTTCAAAATTCTCAAAATTAAATCTCATTAGTTTTTTTGTTTATTTATTTAAATTTAAAAGATTAAAACATTTTCATTATAATAATTCATTATTTTTCTTATTTTCTTATAAATTCAAAGTTCTCAAATATTTAGACATTTATATTTTTTTTAAATTAACTCATGTAATACATGGGTCTCACAACTAGTAATGAATATGTAAATAATTTTCTTTTGTATGAGTACATGACAATCCAAGGATTCTAGTTTCCAAATGGCGCCTTTTGTGCACCATTGCTTTTTTAGAAAGTATAATTTTCCACTCCATTTTTATGGTTATAATCCTTATTATATTCCAAAGAAATTCTTGTCATAGGCTTTGGAAAATATATGGTGTTAGATCCCTTGGTACTAAAAGTTCACCGTTGCTCATAGGTTGCAAACCATACATTAAGTAAGTTTAGATAGTCCTGCTAGAAGAAGTTTAAATTTGTAACTTATGACTTATGCATGATTTAACCATTTGTGCTTTATCATTATATTCTTCGTTATTCAAAGTTTGAGCCTAAAAATAGTCTATGTATTTCCAAGATGGATTTTTTTCATGAAAAAATGACAAAACAATTTCAAGTATCTATAATAGACATAAATTTAGCGTAGATTTTAGAATTTTGATGCTTATTATGGTTACAGTAGTGGCTATTCATCTAGACGTAATTTTTATGTGTATACACCAATTAAATTATTTTTGCTCCATTTATGGTCAAGAAACATGTGAAGACTAACAATTTATAACTATAATTAATATCAACTTATACATTTGGGCTTGTCCCCACCATACTTTTGGGTGAAATTACCTTAGGTCACTAGATAATCACCCCTTTTAGCTTGCATTTTCCTATCATTATATAGTGTTGGTAACCCATCTACTTTATCAGTACCCTCAAATCATGATGTAGTGTCTAGTGGACCTCTTCCCATAGGAGATAGCCATTGATAACTAGGTGGTCCCACATGAACACCATTCTCAAGATAACAATCACAATCACCATAGAAATAGCTATGTTACTCACATTGATGTTTCATGGATGGAAAATTCCTAACTCGTATTTATTTGCTTCCAATAGTTGAGAAACTTGTGTTTCACCATCCATGGCTTTCTATTGTCAACATATACCAGTTTAAATAGCATCAAACAAGTCTGAGTTATATAAATCCACAAATCTACTTGGTAATATATTTTAGTTTAATTTTAGGGTTCTTTACTTCAATTGACAACAATAACAACAAACCATCATACAAGTTCTAATTTTACTATCACCACAAGTAGATACCAAATCAACTACTTTGGGCATCATGAGTCTAGATATAATTATGGAATAAACAAAATAATTTTTGTGGCTTATTTGATAACCAAACATCTATTAATATAATCTACTTACTAAATTTCATCATTAAGTACTCTTTCTTCATGATTGGCAAACTTTTTTCCTTTTCCCTAATTCCAAGGGTAGAGAATGAAGATTGTTTACCATTTTGGTCATGGATAAAGGTGATTGATAATTGTTGATAAAAGACTAATCAATTTGATATTTTTATGAAGAATGTTGTGAAATAATAACTACCCACCTAATTAAAACTAAACCATTTTCCACATCTTAGAGTTGCATTGACCGAGAACTTTTTTTTCTTGTTTTATGTGTGGCCCAAAGAGGTTGGCCAATTGAAAATCTTCAAAAATACGGTATGATCGGGCCACATATATTCTCCTTTTAGATGGTGCTCGGGTCACATGTAATATTTTCTTTTATCGTTTTTGACATAACTTTCACTGCCACCACTTCATTAAAGTAGATAAGTTCCAATCATCCATAGTTTATAAAACATGGTCATGATAGGTCGTTTTATAAACGACCATACATCATTCCTTGTGTATGTTCATGGCCCAATTCGAAGGTATTTAAGCTTAAGACAAAACTCGAGATGGAAACAAGTTAAAATCCTTATAATGTTTCTATTTTCTTGGATTATCCTTGGACCTGCATAGCCCCATGAAGATCTCGTCGTCTGCATATTGGAGAAAGGAAAGGTTGGGCCCGAAGTTATGCATGTCAATCCGGTGAAAAAAAAAACATGTCCACGACCCCAAGACTGGTATCGGTTTGGACAATATCAATAGAAAATGAATTAATGCCCAGAAGTTAACAGGTTACTTCTCTCAAGAGTCAAGACTACAAGCGATATGAGATTTTTGGTCAATTACGTTAGGCCCCTTAAAGAGAAATATTAGCCTCACGTCATTGTTTGACCCTAGGCGTTGACATGACAGCACAAACATATCTCCTGCCGTCAGATCACGCACCTGATGCTGTCTAATGAAACGCCGCCATCCGATTTTTATTTCTATGTTCCATCTCTGCAGCTCTCCATCGTCTTGTCGATTACAGAACGTTTTACCTTCTTTCGTTGATTATCTGGATCGGTCAGATCGTGGAAGAATCTCCGACTTCTGTTTTTTCATTGATGATTGCTATTTTTATCCTCTTATTGGTGCTGGCTCTCCGTATGTTTACACCAAGCGCCAAAGAAGAGGAACAAATAAATAGCAATCATAAGTTGGAGATTCTTCTGGAAGATCAAATAATCAAGGAAAGAAGGTAAATTGTCATTGATATTTATCAAGAATACAATGATTTGATCCTTGAGTCTAATTATTATATAATCACCAGTCATTTTTGGCATGCAGATTGGCAAAGTCTAGACATGTAGACCTAATCTAAAGTTCTTTTTGTTGGCTTAAATATGTATATGGCAGCTTCAGTCGTCCAAGCAGGCTGTAACCAGCAACAAGGGGAAGGAGAAAATGATTGAGTTACCAGCTAAAAGGACCGATATGTGGGAGTTGCCATTGAGATACCATAATAAGGGGATTACTATCGGCTCCCCACCAAGACCCCCACCTCCAGTCCATGAAAATGCCATGATTTCCAAATCTAAAGATCAATCATCTACAGATACGAGGACAGGAATCAAAAAACGAAAGAGGAGAAATAAGCAGCAAAATATTGTTGAATTTGAACCTTCTTGTTGGAACAGGATTTGTCCACAAGATGTGGTTGACGCTGGAATACATCTGAATCCAGCTAAAAAGAAGCATTCTGTTTGGTTCAGTTTAACTCCTTCCTGTGATCAGTGAGCAATAAAGATTCCTTTTAAATTTATTCATATAGCTAATGTATCTTCACCATCTTATCTTTTTTATTTCCTTATCTTTGATTCCGTAGGAACAGAAAGAACACTCTGCAACTTCTAGTGGAACCATACGTACAGATAATGTAAGTACATCGGCCTTTTTGGTATAATGTTGTTTAATGTTCATATAATTCGCCAGTTCATTAGGAAATAAATTATTGACATTCATTTTTTTGGTCTTTGTAACTTGCATGTACTGATTAACAACAAATTATTCTAGCATGGAGGGGAACTGTAATCCAGATGTGTCTATTCTCATGAAGTATATCGTGTTGCAACTTAAGCATGTTTGCCAACAGGAGGTATGTTCTAATTTTTCTGATTCAGTTAATTGCATATAACTTTGGTTCCATTCATAAAAGAAGTATCGTTCTTTTCTCATGATATCTACTGAGTGGAGTTTGGTTATAGGTTTTTAAACATATATAATTTAGTAAATGTAAACTCCTTCTGAAGTGCTGAGGGGACATAGTGCATTAAAATATGCAGCTTTCAATGCATCATGCACAAATTGCTATAATGAACAATATTTCATAGGCAGAAGGATATTGTCCCCATGTAAATCTAATAACTAAAAAACATGAAACTGTTAGAGAGTATGTTTTGCGTTTCTTATGTGTTCTTGCATAAGCATTGAACCATGCAACTCTTAACTACGTACAATAACTTGAGTTATGTATGCCTAAAAAACTTCAGTTTTCATTACAGTTCACTTGTCCGTTAATTGTTCTTTTTCCATGGAGATTCAGCAATATAGACTTTACTAATAGAACAAGGACGTCATAGTCTCATAGATATGTATTTGTTCTTCTTTTTTCATGTTTTTGTTTCACAAAAATATTTTCTTTATTGACTTATATTTTAAATAATCTGAACAGGTTGGTATCTTCTTAAACGGGAAACTTCTTGCCCCGGAAATGAAGCTACTTGATGTGGTGAAGCAGTGGATGGCTATTGTTGATTCAGAGAGCAAAATAACCAAGATAGGAAGTTCTGCCGAGAACTTCTGTGTGAAGCTGACTTATGCTCGAAGACAATAGACAAAAGTATGCATTTATAATAAAATCCGACAAATGTTTGTTCCTTAATTATGCCATTTAACCGATTGACTTTTACAATTTCTTGGTTAATGCTGATGGAATGAATTAATTAGCTGGTTCCATAGTGATTATTAGACTTTTAAAACTAATAATGGTTACATTGTTTTTGAGTAACCAACTAGCAATGATCTTTGAAAATAACTTGGGCTCATTGGCAAGATCTAAATTTTTAAGATGTGAATTTATAAAATATCTTAATTTCTAAGAGAGTCTGAATTTTGAAGATTTGAATTTTAAAATGTTGTTTGGTTGAAACATCTGAATTGTTATGCAGAATGATAAAAATGACCATTTCCTTCTTTATTATTTTTTCTAAAATATGTAACACCCTTTTTGAAAGTACTCGGTTGGGGTCTCGGAAGCCAAAGGGTAGGGGGGATCGGTCTTTTATGTGTCCCGGGTTTCATCCGGAAGGTTTTAGACTTGGAGGTGTCGATGGGAGCGTAGGGCTTCCCGCCACCTTTTTTGTGGATATAAAGTTCGTCGGAAACGAACTTAGAATGAAGGAGTTATGACACTTTGAAGTTATTGTCAATTTTAGCCCCTAATGGAAATTAGTGACGAAAAGGTCCCATGCATGCAAGGTGGCCAGCACATGAGTACGCCCAGCGTAGATGGGGTAAATGGTCGCAGGTGATTGGAGACGTACACCCAACGTACGAGGAGTACGCCCAGAGTCACTAAACCCTAATTTTTAGGGTGTGACACTATATAAAGAACATTACACCCTCTAGGGTCAGCCTCTTTCTCATCCTTCAGCCCCTCTTCGAAACCCTAACCCTAATTGTGAGAGTGTGAGCTTATAAGGTCATCTTGGAGTGCATCTTAGTGTTCTTGAAGAGGAGTGATTATCTTGGAGTCTCATTGATCAGGGAAGAGCTTTTGGATCCAGGTTCTCCAACTCATTTGCAAGTCTCAGAAGGTATAAAGTTTCTACCTTGTTATCTTATAGCTTTAGATCTAGATTAGGGCTTGTTTGGTGTTTCTTATGAGCTTATGGACTATCTCTTGGGAGTTGAGCAACTCCAGAGCTTAGGAAGAGTAGATCTGAGGTCCTTTGGTCCATCTACTTCATAAAAATGCAATCTTGATGAGTATTCTAACCTCATGCATGAATCAAGACCCTTGGAAAGGTCTTAATGGGTTGTTGGGAGCATTTGGAGCATGCAAAGGCATAAAGTTGTCAACTTTATGCCTTAAGACGTCTTAATGGACTTAGATCTGAAGTTTGATGTTGAAATCCCGAGTATTAAGCACTTAATGGAAAAGTAGCTTAACAGAGGAGTACGATGGGCGTACATGCAGGTACGTGCAACGTACACCACCTTCAGCCAGTACGCTTAGCGTAGATAGGAGTACGCCCCGCGTACTCATCAGTTATGGGCTTGTGATGTTTTGGGCCCCGGGTTGGGCCAAGCAGTGGACTTTGGGTCTTTGGACCTTAGTGGGCCATCAGGAGTTAGATGTTTTGGGCCAGAAATATGTTTGGGCTTAGGGTAAGGCCCATTAGAGGGATTGGGCCCAATTGAGCAAATTGGGCCATTAGTGGACCACTAGTGGGCTTGGAAAGCCTACTTAGTGTTGGGTTTTGTTTTGGGGTTCGGGGCTTAGTTTTTGGATCATATTGGGCCAGGGGTAGAATAGTCATTTTACCCTCCATGCATGGATTAAGGATCATGGTATGGGACCCAATTGCAAATTGGGTATATTGATCGGTATTGATGGTTCAGGAAGTGGACAGGGCAGCAACTAAGGATTTCTTCAGGAAGCTTCTGCATTTGAGGTGAGTCTTCTCACCATACCAATGGGTCTAAAGCACCAAGGCCGGCCCATTTTATGATAGTTGGTATACTTGCTGTGTAGAGGTGTATGGCATTGTTATGCATTGATATGTGGTAGAGATAGCTTTTACAGCTAGTGGTAGAGATAGCCTTCAGGGCTAGTAGTAGAGATAACCTTCAGGGCTAATGGTAGAGATAGCATGTATGGCTAAGGGTAGCGATAGCCTTTGTGGCTAATGGTAGAGATAGCTTTATAGCTAATTGATATGTGTTATGTGGCAGAGGTAGATTTATAGCTAACTGATATGCATTATGTGGTAGAGGTAGCTTTATAGCTAATTGATATGTGTTATGTGGTAGAGGTAGCTTTTATAGCTAGCATGTTATGTGGTTTGTGTGTGGGGTATGCGCTGGGGAAACTTACTAAGCTTCGTGCTTACAGGTTTGTTATGGTTTCAGGTACTTCAGATCCCAAGGGCAAGGGCAAGGCGTGATGGCGCGGCGAACACTCTCTCACAGGCGTTTTATGGGACACTATGATATTTGGAATAAAAGTTGTATTTGACTTATGTTTGGAAAACAATTATAACTGGGTTTCTTAATGAATGGGAATATGTTTGATTACTCTAAAATGAAAATTTTACTTTGAAAATTTGGGTCGTTACAAAATAACTGACTAAACTTCTTCAATAATTATAAAAAAAGATATAAACACAATACAAAATCCAAATTAAAAATGTAATAACTAACCCTTTCTAATAAATAAAGATTTTTTTGCCACATGGCATGCTCTCCTTCAATTTGACAAATGTCAATTTGTGGTAATTTTGAATTAATGTTTTTTCTACATGTCATTTTATAGGTTTTCCTATTTTATTAAATTCTATATAATATTTTAATGTAATAATTACAATAAATATAGTAATAAATGGGTATCAATTTCATGAATGAGTTTACCTTCTAATTTCAAAATTCTTGAATTAAAGTTAATTAGTTTCTTTTGTTTATTTATTTAAATTTAAAAGATAAAAAACATTTCAATTTTAATAATCCATTATTTTTCTTATTTTCTTATAAATTCAAAGTTCTCAATTATTTAAACCTTCATATTTAACTTCTTTTTTTTTAAATTAAGGGTAAATAGCATAAAAAACACTTCGTTTACACCAAAATTCTAATTTGACACCGTGTTTTTTTTGTCTCAAATTTGACACCGTGTTTTCCAATTTGTTACAATTCTGACCACTTGACCGGTTAACCAGGTTACATGCTGACGTGGCAAGATGACGTGTCAGTTTTAATCATGTGGCATGCTGACATGATATGCTGACGTGTCAAAATTGAATTTTTTTTCCACAAAAAACACTAAGTTTTCATTTTTTTTTTCGATTTTGACATTAAGTTTAATTTTTTCTTTCAATTTTGACACTATGTTTTTTTGTTCCAAATCGAACATAATTTATCAATTTTTGTTCAATTTTGACCATTTTCCATTTCAATTAAAAACCATAGTTTTGTATAAATACAAGTTTACATTCAAACCATAATTTTATGTATAAATATGTATTAGTCATATAAAAACCGTATTTTATATTAAATACGCAACTTTAAAATGAGTTTGTAGGTTTGGAGGCGTGTAGT